TAATAATAATAATAATAATAATAATAATAATAATAATAATAATAATATTTGTTTCCCTAGTACATTTCTAACAGATGCAGTATTTGCAACAGGAGAAAAACAATTGCTTTGGCTACTGGTGCTATACAATAGATGGCTCCATATTCTTCAAAGGTAGCGTTAATGTCCAGTAACCATTGTTTTGGAGAGTATTCTGATTGCAAGATATAAATGCAATAAATAAATAAATTCTGCCACGTCCCATATTTACATCTTAGGAAACCTACACTGGAGGGTATAAGTTCTGAGCCAACCTTTCCAAGCTGGTATGTTTCAGACAGGCTGGATTACAACCCCCATCATCCTTAGCCAGTATAACCATGGGGATTATGAATGTTTTAGTTCAACCCAACTGGAAGGAAACACACGGGGAAGATGAGTTTTAAAGCCCCTGCCTCATTATCACTTACCTTCTCGTATGCTGGAAAATATCTGGTTGTAGCTCTTTCAATAATCAGGGCTCTTTGCTTTTCTTTGTTTTCAGCAGGCTGAAAAGGAAGCATCATTATCATTCCCATCAGATCAGTGGTTCCTTCCACATACATGTCAATCCTGAATGACATAGTTAAAGGGGAGAGAGAAAATATTTTTAAAATTAGGTGCCCCTGAGTTGGGTCCCAAGTGATTATAGGGACATGTCTCCACTAACTTGACCTGTATAAAAATTATTTAAAATTAGTAGTTAATTTTTTTTGGGGGGGGGGGGAAGCTACTTAAGAAATTTAAACCGGAACTTCCAGTTTGAAGGGCTTCAGTGACAGACAGAAATCCACGATCGTGCACGGTTTCTGTCTGGGCTCGCCGCTGGAATGCCCCGAGCCGGCTGGTTTCGGGGCTAAGCCACCTCGTAGAGGTGGTGAAGAGTGGGGAGACCACCAGCAGGGTTGAGGAGAGCCGCATCTCTCCTCCTCAGCTGGCCATTACTCCCTTTCCCGAAGGCGGTTGCAGCGGTGGTCAGAAATGGCCACCACACAGAAGAACTTGACCGGAAAAGAAGGTGCAGGAGGAAGATAAGAAGTGAAAGTTTTGGCTGACCGGGTTAAATTGTAAAAGCAACAACTAAGGTACCCTGGAATTTAAACTTACAAAAAATAACATCGCTCCCAAAGAAGAGTCGGAAGCAGCGAAGGAAAGTGAAAAGGGAAAGGTTTGGCTTTTTTTTTTCTTCTCTCTCCTTCCCTATACTGACAACTAAGAGACTTAAATAAGAAATCGGAAAAATTCGCTTTGACATCAATAGGCAATTAAGCTGAAAATAAAACAAAATGCCAAAGGCATAATAAAGATTTCTGGACATTAAAATCTTTCTTTTTCATAAGCAGGAAGGGAGAGAAAAAGAATAAGGGCAGGATCTGGAAGAGGGAGGAGACTGCCTGGAATTAAAAAGAATCTAAAGTAAAACTTCAACAAGACTTCTAAAAGATACATTTTAACTGAAACTTTGCAACTAAATAGTAACCCCAGGAAGAGAAAGTGAAAAAAAAGAGCAAAAAAGGAACAGCTTGCGTGTATTTGGATTATTTGGTGATCTTTGGATTTTTGGTTATTATATTTGAATGACTAAAATCAACTAGGTGGTTGTTTAAAAATTAATACAATGGCGCCACTTCTGGATGAATTGAAAATGGAACTTAAAAAGTACAAAGAAGATGCACAAGAAAGGAAGGGTTCTTTTGGCTTAGTCTTTCAATTTTTAGAAATGGAGATTTGGAACTATGAGAAACAACGAGAAAAGACTACAAAACAAGAAGACTGGGACAAAGAAGCCATCTTTAATGAACAAGTAATTCTATGTGGGGAAGAAAAAGGAAAGGGGGGAAAGAGAATGGAGAATTTAAGACTTAAAACAGTCGGTTCCTTTCCATAGATTGCCATTTATTAATGCATTAAAGGTGCATTAATAATTGGCAATCTATGGAAGGAAACTGACTATTTTGGCAAAAAGGGGATTTAAAACATCTTCCACAACTGCTATTCTATAAAAGTTATTTTTCTAAGATCACTGTGCAGGAACGGAACCTCACTGTTGGTACAACAGTGCTGACCTTTAAATCAAACACTCCAACCAACATGGCCAATATTGAGAAAAGCTGAACATTTTAACTCATTAACACCAGGAAGACCGTAAGTTTCTCATTCCTGCATCAGAGGAATGCTTTCAAAAAAAATAAAGGCTTGCTACATACACTTTACAGCTTGCCCTTTCAATCATTGTTTTCCTACTCATTGACAGATTGCTAAAAAGCTACATGTTCCAATCATTTGAAGTCCAAATGAAAATTTTTACCAAGCAGGCAAAATAATAATCTCACTGGATCTAGACTGCAAAAACTGGAGTGCCCAGCAGATGGAGCAAAGAGCTACAAAAAGATCCATCTCTTTTCTACCAACTAGTGGTTGTTTACAATACTGCAGTCTAACCTGTATTGTTGAATGCTAATATAAAGCTACACCTCAAACTACATCTGTACTACATGTTATATTTCTGTTACAACTTTGTAATCAATTCTAGATTTTAATCAACGTAGTCATAACCCCGTACAGTACTCTCTCTTTCAAATCCTTCCCATAGAGATTGTATTTTGCTGCAATATAGCTGAGAATGGCTCGGGTTTGCACCAGCTTCATCCCATCCATTTCCACCATAGGCACTTGCTGGAAAAGTAGCCATCCATCTGGTGAAAGACAAACAAGAAGAACAATTCAGAAAATAAGTTAAATCAAAATGTTAATTGAATATTTCAAATTGATTTGACTGGCCTATTTAATATGCTCTACTATTTTTAAAAAACTATGTGTTAAAAATGCAAGGATTACAACCTCAGGATATACAGCACCCTTAACCGAGAAACATCCATGTAAAACCAGGATAATATTTAATTGATCTGAATTAATTTCTGGGCTTCAACTCCCAGCAATTTAGGAACAATTTTGCTGGCTGAGGAAATCTAATCGAGCTCATTATAGGAAAGGCCCTTTTCTGAGAGCCACCAAGTTATTCACATCGTGGGGACAATTCTACTGATCCAAGTGTACAGATAAGAGATATGGAGTCCCCCTGGGGGCTAAGTAGTATAGTAGTTAAAAAAAAATATCCCTGCTTAGGATTGGATCTAGAAACAAGCTATCAACTGCCCAAGCTCCCAATAAATCTTTGCAAATCGGATGATGCCATTCAATTCACCTCAAAGCAGAGTGCCTATCAATTCTTGCCTTGATCTCATCACAAAGTGGATAATAAAATTGTATTCAAAATTTGCAGCCAACTCACCACTGCGCCACTTCTCCAAATCTTCTCTCGTTTCTAAAAAATGTTCTTCAAACTGCAATGCAGAAACAAAATGAAATGCTTTTTCCTTGTTTTATAAGATCATTTTGGAGAAAGTAGCTCATGCTTGGCATATATTTTTTTGAAATTAGTTGTGTTTAAAAAACAACAACCCAATACAACAGAAGCTTTCCCTATTTGGGGGTAGAGGCTGATTCATGTTTTTATGAAGAAGTAATAGTGACCTTTGCAAAATGGCTGTTGAAAGAGCCTTGTACATTTGCAAAGAGGCTGCCAGAACTATAGCACCAGTTAAAAAGATCCCAAATCTTTGAACAAGGTGACCTCAGTGCCTGTAATTTCAGCCTTGCAGTTTTCATGCCCACAATTTGCTTTCCTTGTTCTGGAATATTTTCTTCAATTTCCTCACCTAGCACATGGTCATGAACATTCCTGGTGCCCTTTATTTCAAATTCTAATCAAATTCAAGCCTGCTTAGCTTGTTGCAATCAACCAAGGTCAACTAAATGCAGCAAAAGGCTTTACCAGCATATCGTCTAAAAAGGAAATCAGGTCTGTATTTTTAATTCCATTGCAAAACATGACTTTGATCTGGAACCACTCTAATCCCCTTCCCGATTCTGATTTCACTATCCAGGCAGGTATATCAGCCTTCCCCAAACTTGCAACGTATCAGCTCTCTCTCTCTCTCTCTTTTGCACTCAGATGCTTTAAATTCACCAATCTAGAGCCCTTCCTAAGATTTTGAAAAGTCTGTTTCACAAGAGACAAGAAAGGGGAGCCCTGTCCCCCAAGGGAGAAAATATCCTATGAATGCTTTGATTCTTGCGCCTGTGGGTGAATCAACCCATCCATTTTGTGAAGAATCTGTTGCAAGGATGAATCATTAGTCAATCTCTGATGCTGGTTTTAAAATATCCTTTTGACATGCCAGCCAGAGCGCTAGCTGAATTCTATGCCTGCAAAAAGCATGGTAAAACAGACCTCAACTCCAGCTGCTGCCAGTAGCCAGCGGATAGATTCCATTTTTCCTCTCCCTCGAGTGTAGTACAGTTTAGGTTTCCCTGCCATCTTTTTAGAAATTCTTCAGACTCAAGCTCAGCGCAGTAGGATGATGGACTTTATGGATGTCCTAAAATAGAAGTGGAAGAGGAACCATTAAGAATTCAGAAGTAACTGCTTTTGTCACAGAAGCTAGAAAATACAGTCCATAGCAGGGGTCTCCACTCTCCAACCTTGGCAACTTTAAGACTTGTGGACTTCAACTCCCAGAATTCCTTAGCCAGCTTTGCTTTGCTGGCTGAGGAATTCTGGGAGTTGAAGTCCACAGGTCTTAAAGTTGCTAAGGTTGGAGACCTCTGGTCCATAGCATACCCTGAGCTGAACTTCAGGACTGGTCTTCTTCAAGAAGACCAGACTGTTGCTTAATGTTTGGGTTCTCATCTTGAGCAGATTAATTTTCCTCAATGCCACCAGTAGCTGGAAAACTTGGTATTCTTAAATTTCTACTTACCAGCGCCTCTTCAACAATGGAGAAACCTTGCTAAAAAAACAACCCTGCAGCCCATTTGAGCAGATGGCATTAGAAAATCTAAAACTACTTTTTGAAGTATCAACCTCTAACTTGAGAGTTAAGAAACCTGCAACAGAGCAGAACAGAATAATAGAGTTGGAAGGGACCTTGTAGGACATCTAGTCCAACCCCCCACCCAAGCGGGAGACCCTACACCATTTCTGACAAATGGCAGTCCAATCTCTTCTTGAAGGTCTCAAGTGATGGTGCTCCCATAACTTCCGAGGGCAAGCTGTTCCATTGGTTGATTGTTCTCACTGTCAGAAAGTTTCTCCTTATTTCCAGGTTAAATCTCTCCTTGTTCAGTTTCCATCCATTATTCCTTGTCTGGCCTACAGGTGCTTTAGAAAATAGCTTGACCCCTTCCTCTCTGTGGCAGCCCCTCAAATATCGGAAGACTGCTATTATGTTTCCCCTTATCCAATTACAGCTCTGTTATGGTTCAATTTTAAACTAGTATATCTCATCCGTCTCAATGCAATTTGTTTCAGCTTAGATACATCTCCCTCAAATCTACCAACTCCAGACAAGCTATCCATACAATCCCAAAAGTATCTAATATAATAGCATACATTGCAGGGCATGGATTTACCTGCAGTCACTTCCAGATGAGTCAAATGGCATAAATGTCCATGTAGATAACACTGATTATCATAGCAGGCACTGTAACTGACAGAAGAAGCAATTAAAAGCACTCACCAGGTGTAACTTCTCTGCTGTGTAATTGCTCTGAGAAATGACCCCCAAATCAGCAAGGAGCCTGAAGTCCTACCTGCTTTTGAACAGCAACTCTTCTTGGGAGGGGGAAACAGGGGGATTTAACCCAGTTTTTAAAATATGCTTAGTCATACCACATCTGCCTTCAAGGATGAAGGGATCCGAATTAATTTGTGAACGAAATTTTGCAACAATTAAAAAAAAAACAACTGACAGAGCAAATTATTAACTTGCATTTAGAGCTGGTGAAAGAAGGTCACTTATCAGGGTCATTCCTCAGCTATGTAACTGATAGGCCATTCAGCAGGAATATTGCCGTTTCTTTCACACAAGGAAAAGATGTATCAGTTGAATTTCATGCTGTCATGCAGCTGATAGAGGGAAAAAAATAATTCACCAGCCTTTTACTCCATCTTAGCTCCAATCCTGACAAATTACATTCACACAGTTGTCTTGGTTACAAGTTGGATCTGCCAATTGACTTGGGGCCCTTTTGGGAATAGTGAGTAGATTAGATAAAATCCTACCTCCACCCCGTTTACTCACTGGGATCCTTTTATCTAGTTGGTTACTGATGTTAATTTTTAATGCTTAATGTTTTAATATAACTTTGAATTGTCTTTATTGTTATTTATGATAAATAACAATAAATTGCCCAAAATTGATTGACAGTGAGGGGGATGGCAAATAAATTTAGTGTATAAATAAAAAATACAAAAATGGCTTGCTGTTTCTTTCTTCCAGAATATAATATCAAGCCCTTTACTTAATTTAAAGCACTAATCTTCCAAAGAGGTCTCTGACTGAAGCACAAACCAATTTTATCTCTCTTTAGCTTCCAAGATAAGCCAAAATGACTTAATGCCTGGTGAGGCTAACTAATCAATTATAGAGTTACCAATTTTATCAGAAAAAAGCAGGAGAGTTGTATTCTTGTTCTTCAAAAGATTGCTTGATATGAATAAACCAAGAAGCATTTTATTTTATGTCACACAAGCAAATAGTAAGGGATATTTAATAATCTCTCATTTCAAGAAATGTGTATGCAGGGCACACAATTAAGCCTATGATCAACTAGAAGATCCCAAGTTATCCCCCATTGTCATGCACCCCAGTGGTGGGTTTCAAAAATTTTTCCTACTGGTTTGGTGTGAGCGTGTGCTTTGTGCATGCACAGTGTTTGCAACTCATCTTCTGCTGCAAGCCCTGTGTGTAAAACAGCTGATGTGAGGCAATTGGATATGCCGTGCGAAGCACTTTGATTTCCTTATTTAAGGCGGGCAGTGGAACTTATGCAACTTTACACAGTGATCTTACTGGACATTCTACTGTTCAAGTATTGAATGACTAGCTTATTAAGAATACTTTCTACATACAGTAGATTACAAACAAAAAATAAAATCTATAGGTGGTTCAGTATTATACTGTTTTTGGTGGTGGTGGTGGAAATCAAGAGTTTACAAAGTAAGATTTTGGTGCTTCCAACTTCACACACTAATTCAGTTTTTTTTTTAATAACATGCAACCACTCAGAAACTCTCACGTTTCATCTACAGAGAGAGAGAGAGAGAGAGAGAGAGAGAAAACTAGATCTAACTGCCTTGGCCTGGTATTTTACAAAAAAATATGAATGTGATACTATGGAAGATGTTTCCAAAGGAATAAAAGAGACACATGTGACATCATACAAAAAAGTCAGCATCGAAGGCTAGAAAGCCCTTCCTATTGTTAAAAATTAAAAATAAGACAAAACAAAATTTGGAACATTTAAATTTTGGCATGTAGGCAACATGTAACAATGGAAAAAAAGGTAAAGAAGTAAAGAAGCCATAAGCATACAATGCTATGAAAAACCTTCAACTCTAAACACATACATATAAATAAAAAAAGGAATGATATTTAAGGCTCTTGATTATTAAGTTAATAAGTCAAATATACACAGTGATTAATAAAAAAAGAATTATTTACATAACTATACAAACTTCTACTTTTGACACATTTTCCTCTCAATTCTTCATTATTATTATTTTTACCAGCAACTGCTGACATGCATCTTCCTGGTCCCTCCTTTCCCCCAAACAAAGCAACAACAACAAAAAATTACAATAAAAAATAAATAATAAACTTTTCTTTGATAGTTGCTGTGGTTCTGAGCTGCAAAGGCACTTTCAAATACAGAACTAGTTGCATGTCACCATAAAACCCAATATACAAAAGAACTCTAATTCAATATATAAATAAAAACGTATTTTTTGTTCTAAGACTACAGATTGCGACGTCTCAAGAGAGAAGGTAATGTTAGCGCAATGTTCTTGATCATAAGAATCAGAACTGCAGCCATTTGTATTCTGCGTGCACGTAGGTCCTTCCCAACCTCCTTTGCAGACACACGTGAAAGACTCTCCACTTACAACACAGGTTCCCCCATTATGGCAAGGGTTTGACAGGCAGCTGCTGTTCCGTGCTATATTGCAAGTGGCTCCATCCCATCCTGCAGGATATATGCACTTGAAGACGTCACCCTCATCATAACAAGTCCGTCCATTCTGACACTGTCCCACACAGTCATCAATGTTTGTTTCACAATTCTGGCCAGTCCAGCCAGCAATGCAATTGCAGTAATAACTACCAATCAGGTTCCTTCAGGAATTGGCATTGATACAAGGTTTGCTCTCGCATTCATTGGCATCTATTTAACAAGTTTTACCAGTCCACTGGGGTGGGCAAACACATTTAAATCCATCAACTAGATCCTGGCAAGTTCCTCCATGCCCACAGGGGTTTGGAGAACAGTCATATTAAGCATGCAGGTTGGTGCTGCCCAGCCAAGTGCACAGGAGACATTCAAATCCAGTAGGGGTCTCCAGGCAGCTTCCTCCATTGGGGCAAGGATCCGAAAAACTGGCATTTTCTGCAATTTCACAGTTTTGTCCCAAATAGCCTTCAGGGCAGGAACACTGGTATTTGTCAGGGCCCGTGTTGCTACAGGTCCCTCCATTCAAACAAGGCGGGTGAGTCCCACAGTAGTTGAGATCTTTATTGCAGAATTGGCCACCCCAGTTGGTTTCACAGAGCCATTGCCACGGTTCGTTGTACGTTCCATGGACACAGCCCGGGTGTGAAATGCATTTATCGCAGTACTGGCCTTGCCAGCCATACTGACACCTGCATTCGCCGGGTATTTTACAAGAACCATGTCTGGGATTGCAACCCTGACGACAGATTGCTTTGTTACAGTGTGGTCCCATCCAGCCTTCCAAGCAGGTTTTATTACCATTCTGATCACTTTCTCTGTCAGCTGTTTGTCCGAGATTGAGGGGGTGACCAATAAGATATCAACTCACTCCTGTAGCTTTAGTGAAGTTTTTAAATTCATCTTCCACACCACAACAACAGGTAACAGTGATCAAATTATGTTTAATGTCAGCTCTGGGTTGCAACAAACCCCAGAGCTGTATTTATACTTGTTATACTTTGGATAACAATATAATTACTATAACATACCGTGTTTCTCATATAATAAGGCCGGGTCTTATTTTTTTTTGAGCCCCGAAAAAATGTCTAGGCCGTCTTTACGGGGGTGACTTAATTCCCCCCCCTTGAATCTTTGGGCGGGCAGGCGGCGACGGCTTGGATGTTGACCTCGGCATTGGTGGGGCACTTCATATCGGGGTCAATGCAGGCAGCACCATATCCGGGTGTGCAACAAAAGTACTTCCTAACAGCAAGCCCCCCTACCATTCTCCCCATTTTGCAGGTTTTAATATAGGCCTTAATTTGGGGGGAGGGGCTTAATTTTATTTCATGCCTATAAAACATGCTGGGACTTCCTATTGGGGGAGGCCGTATTGTTGGAGAAACAGGGTAGTAACTGCACCTTTCCCCTGCTCCACGAGCCTGTGTACCCTCATTTATTTCTTATCATTATTGCAACATCACCCCCTTGACATCCAGCCATGAATCATTATTATTACACCACTCCTTGTCAGGAAGCCGATGTTAGTTATTTGACGAATATTCATTATAGCGTCCATGTGCCAACACTTAGGTAGGTGAAAAAATATGGTCGTATCACATTCTGGCTGTCTCAGCACCAGTCCGTTCTTTATTGGAGTCGTGACACAACCATGGCTGCATCTCCACAGTAATGTGTTCAAAATTCACATGCTTGGCAACAGACTCATATGACTTTATGATGGTTGCAGTGTTCCTTTTGCAACCTTCTGACAAGCAAAGTCAATGGGGGACCAGATTCACTTAACAAAAGTTGAGAGGCCTACCCAACAAATGCAAAACGATTTTGCCAATCTGAGAGATACTTGATCATGAGTGTAGCCACTGGGTGGAAGTTGACTGGAGGAGCCCACCCAGGACATCACCCATCCATCCATACCCATTTGGGAAACGTATCTGAATGCCATACTGAGACCGAAGCAAAATTATGAAAGGCTGACAATTCATCGAGCGGTAAGAAAAGCTGAGTTCCAAGTTATCCCTCGTGAATGTTTTGATCTTTAAATGTTTGATAATACACGGTGAAGAAAACGTCTTTGAAGGCATGGAGACACATGGTCAGTGACTAGATGGTGTTTTCTGACCGGCCAGTCTAGATAAAGGAGATTATCCAGATAATCCACTTGCATTCTGGACAGCTGCTCCTCATAAATGAGCAGCAGGAATTGAGGTTTCTCTAGTCAGACCGTGAGTTGAACACCTCAGGGTTGAGCAAATTCCATCAAGCTCAAAGCAGAAATGTAATCCTTATACAGAAATGTATCCTCATTCCTCGATCACTTTGGGAAAAATGGGTCTTAGCAGCTTTTCAGCGATAAAGAATCTTACAGTTGGCAAATCTGATAATAGACATTGGGTGACTTCATGTCAATCCTTAGCAGAAAAAAAAAAGTTCTAAAGAATTTAAGGAAAAGAAAAAGACAACAACCCCCCTCTCCTCTTTTTGGGAATAAACAGCAGCAGGATGTTAATAGTCCAGATGGATTTGAAATAATATTTTGAAATTAATAATAAGAATCCTACCCATGGAAAAAATCTGTTTACATGTTAGTATGGGAATTTGAACATTGGACACTAGAGGGAACCAGAAGGAATTGCAGTTAAAGCAGAAAAACACTTTTTGACCCACTAATACAGA